TCCATTTTGTTCGATGACCTTTTGCCATCTCTCTGACAACTTGAAAATTCCACGCTCGTAAAAAGGCTGATCCTTTTCGGCCAAAAACTGAGTTAAGTGAGATTTTACAGCGTCATCATCATTAAAAGTTTTACCACGAAGGGAGTTGTCCAGGGATCGAAATAAGTGGTAATCCGATGGCGCGAGATCAGGACTATATGATGGGTGTAACATCAATTCCCAACCAATATCCATGAATTTTTGCCGAGTGGACAAAGACGTGAGCGGCCTAGCATTGTCCTGCTGGAAAATGACACCTTTACGATTGACCAATTTTCCTTGACCGCTGCATCCAATTTGTCCAGTTGCTAACATTCACGGATAATAAAAAATAACATAATAATAATTTTATAATATAACATTTACGGATATCATAAAAATGGGAGTGAGAGACCATCTATAACTGAACTCGGCAATTACTTAGTTGCCAACCCAATAGGTATGAAAAGATGATTTTTTGGTTGGATAAAGATGGGAGTATGACGGCGTTGATGTAGGAATTGGTGGTTTGAAACCTAACGAGAACTTTAATGTAATTAGATTCGAGTAGAATTTATTTAGACTTAACAAAAATTTATTTAGGCTCAAGTAGAATTGATTTAGACTTAAACATTTATTCGAACTTAACAAAAATTTATTTAAGCTCAAGTAGAATTGATTTAGATTCGAGTAGAGTTTATTTAGATTCAATGACTACTGTAGCAAATTCTGAAGCGGTCGATGTAGATGCAATGTGCTTTGTGAAAACATGACAACTGCAACACTAGAAAATGAAAGAATTATTTATTGGATTCGGAAGGAAATCGAACTTTAGTGAAAGACGATGGGGTGTAAGAAAAGCGGCTATACATAGTCAACTGATAAGACAGTACATTATTTAACAAGCTGGTAAGCTAGGGTCTAGAAGACTGCGTGGGACTCCTTAAAGGAATAATAGTCACGGCGTCGATGCCACAATCAAAGGGGTATCGAGAGATACGTGTCACTCGCGTATCTAGTGCAGTATTGACCTTCGGTTGACTGTGTTCGGGTTCTCCTTAAGTTTTCTCTTCGTCTACTTTAGCTAATTTTCTAACGCCATTTATCTAACTTGCAGCGAAAATATCTACATTCGTTCTACAAAAAAATACTGTTCATCGTCGCTTCTGATATTGTTAAGACTCTGTAAATTCATGAATCAAGGAAAGGTCAACCTAATCCAAGCTTAAACATCTTTTTAGCCACAATTCAACCAAAATGTTATCAAAACTTCTGTGTTTTCCGGAGGTCAGCCATTATTCGTCAATTTGATGTTTGTTATTGTCAAGTCATTGAATCAGAAGCCATTCGAATCTAAACTCGAATCAACTTGCTGACTACCCCTAAAAATGTCTGGAGAACATCGTTAGACTATTCTGATTGCAGATTCACGCGGGACCACCACCTGAAGACGCACATGCGTTTGCACACAGGCGAGAAGCCGTACCACTGCAGCCACTGCGACCGTCAATTCGTGCAGGTAGCAAACCTGCGTCGTCACTTGCGGGTGCACACGGGCGAGCGTCCGTACGCGTGCGAACTGTGCTCGGCGAAGTTCAGCGACTCGAACCAGCTGAAGGCTCATCTGTTGATCCACAAGGGGGAGAAGCCGTTCGAGTGCGAACACTGTCAGATGCGATTCAGAAGGAGGCACCATCTGATGCATCACAAGTGCGGGACGGGCGGTTCCGGGGTCCCGAGGTCGCAGGTCGCGTCTCCATCGTTGGCCAGCGACGACCTGGACGAGGACATTGACATCGACATCGACGTTGAGATAGATGAGGCCGAAGCGGCGCCTCTGGTGATCAGGAAACCTCTCGCATCGGTCAGACCAGCGCACCGTCAGCTGCCCAGCTCGGTCGTGAACGCGACGATGCCGATACCTTTGAATCTGTCCGGTGTCCCGGTGAACTTGCCGGAGCAGACGGAGCCCGAGGACCTGTCGATGTCGACCGGCATGCACAGGCCTCACTCGCACTCGCACAGCAGCGGCGACTCGCCGATGAGCCACAGCCCGAGCAGCGACACCATTCACGAAGAGGACGAGGAGGAGCTGCTCGACGTCTCCGAGGCCAGTCCCAGCAGTCTCTTCCTTCAGAACCACCGTAGCCAGTACGTTCACCATCTCGCCGGCAACCTCGGAAATCAGACCAATGTCGGTCACGCGTCCTAGTGGAGTCTCTAGGGGTACGTAGACGACACATCTACGTAACAAAAACAGCACAGACACCAACCACTACACACAATCACACACCGAATCCTGTATACTCTCGTTCACTTGGCATTGGCTACCCAAGGAAGAGGACGAAAGGACTAACTTGCGACTCACTTGGGTGGCTCGTCCAGAGAACCGAGCCCTCACCTAGCAAAAATTCTCCGCGAGCACCGGTTCACAGTCACTATTGTTAAGATGCTTTTTATAGATATATATATATTATATTATATATATAGAGATGATGATGATTATTATTATTATTATCATTATTATTATTATTATTATTATTATTATTATTATTATTATTGTATCTTAGGGAGAGGGAAAGATTCGATGAAAGTTAACGGCGAGTCTATAAGCATCCTGCAAAACGTGTAATTTAAACGTGAACAAAACAAACAATTCAGGGACGCGTTTCTCATGTTCTTTTTCTATACATATATAAAATATATGTATATGTATGTATGTGTGTATATATATACATGTATATGTATATATATATACATGTATGTATGTATGTGTGTTTATATATAAAAAACGATACGTATATAATTGATTGAAACGAGAGAGACACGAAAGTGGAAGTGGAAACCAGAGAGTTCGCGAGAGTTCAGTTTTCAGGGAGATAGGTTTCCCTTTGTTGTACATAGTTTGTGCGCGACAGAACGCGACACAAGAGAAAAAGAAAAACTGTGTATTTAGTTAGTCGTTGTAGGTTCCGCGTGTTTCGTTCGAGAGCAGTGTTGATGGATAGGTAGATAGTGATTAATTAGATAGGTATCGGGAGAGAAGAGTAATTGAACAGCGGAGAAAAAAGAGAGAGAGAGAGAGAAATATTTACCGTTGCCGTGCGTGTGTGAGTCTTCCGCGCGAGTGTGGATCTCGTGCGGGAGCGTGATTTCTGGTCAGGAGCGTGTGAGTACGAGTGCCGTTGATGCGTGTGTGAATGAGGCGAGCGGGAATCGAAATATAAAAAGAGAAGCTACGGAATGAATGTGCTGGTATACAAGTTCCTCTGACAGTAAAAGTAGCGGGGGGGAGTGACATTGGTCGTCGGTCCTCTGTCGCTCTCGCAACTTCGCCGATCTTTACAGAGCTGTCGACCATATTATGATATTATGGTAGGTTTTTTTTCGTTTCTTTTACCTTACCGGCTTCGCTTCTCGTTTCTTCTCGTTCCCGTTCTCCGCTTCGTTTTTATTTCGTTGTCTAATTCTTCGCTAAACTTTCGTCTCGTTCTGCGTTGTTATCTTCTATCTTTTGTTTCTGTTTCTGGTCTTTTTTCTGTTTCTGGTCTTTTTTCTGTTTCTTCCTTTTATTGTTTCGCTTTATTTTGCTCGCTTGTATTTATTTTTATAAAGACCTTAATCGGCCAGTCTGCGTAACGACGCGTTGTTGTCTATTCTATACGCCAATTGTGAATCCTTTCATTTTTATTAAACACCTACACAGATCTATACCTATAGATCGACTTTACACACACACAAGCTCGAGGTTTGCCACACCTTGCCCTATCCTCCTCCGTTCGAGTCCTTGGCTCCCTTGTGAATTTTTGGAGAACAGAGATCATTCGGTACCAGAAGCTGTACCGAAGAGTGAAAACTTATCGCAGTGATTATTCCTACAATTATTCCTACTTGCAGTACGTCGAAATAGACACTAATTTTTGAGAACTTGTTGTAGGTGATCAAACCACCTACAAAATATCAAGTTGAACACGATAATCGTGAATGCTGTTCATTTCTTTTAAAGATCGGAAAGCATCAAAACGGATTTGGATTTACTATAAATGAGAACTTTTTTTTTCTGTTAAATTGATAAGTCTGCATTGATTCAAAATGTCAAGGTCATAGAACGATATTACTTTGATATTACCACTTGACTACAGAATCACGATCCTGAGATATCCTACATAATCAAAGCTATTTAGATATTGTCATAGTTATTGTCAAAATTAACTTCTTTTACTTTTGTCATGTATTAAGATAACCGCGCGGATAAATGTTAGAAAGTGAAACTGGACAGACAAAGTTCACCGTAGAACTTATCCTGTTGACCCTATTGCATCCTTGAGATTCTAAAAAAATCCTCGCGCTCAAATGTACAGAATAAAAATGCCTAAACTTGAAAATCCCTAAATAACCAACCTACTAACCTACGTAACCTTGATATAACCTACTAATTCAATCTATCAAAAAGTAACCAATTTGATAGCCAATCCGATAAAATCGGAGCAATTCATTTAACGCGCTGACCTACCAGCTTGATCTAAAACTACAGTAACCAGGTCAAAGCACAACCATGCACTTATCAAGCGACTGAATCATCGTCTTCTTTCTCAGCACACCCCCTCTTATCAACGTCTCGAAATTACCATGTCAAAGCTCGAGAAGAATCCCTTGAAGACTACCACCGAAAAAAAAAGAATCCTAAAAATTGCCTTCTGTCCCAACGATCACGTATCTCGCCAGAGAAGAGCCCGCTAAGCTAATTTGCATGCGGTCCGTTCGCAAAAAAAAAGAGAAGGAAAGGTGGCAGGTTCGGTAAGACGATATATTCACGCGTGTCCGGTGAATATGAAATCGTCGATTCGCGGCAATCCGCACAATAAGCATCGGTAGCATCCACCGACTCGGGAATGATCATCCCCGAGGCTCATTCTCATGCAGAAATCGGCCAGCAGCGTCTTCGCCGGGTTCTCCGGTTTCCGTCTTCTTTTTTCTCCATTCTGCGGAGCAGCCGGCTCTCGTAGAAGCCGAGATCCCTAGGAAGGAGCTTTTGTCCTAGCCCGGGTCCCCGGCGGGCGTCTGTTTCGCGCGAACCAGTTTTCGCAATGATATACCCGCGTGCCGAAAATTTCGCAGCCGGTGGGCCCTCCTCTTTTCACGCCGCGCCGAGGACGGCTCTTCTTCTTCTTCTTCTTCTTCGGCTTCTCCTTCTCCGTTCGCTTCTCTGCCTCTTTCATCGTCCTCCTCTCAATGGCCCTCTGATTTATGTCTGGTCCGGGCCATGCAAATTTCATCGGCGAACTCGAGGCCATCTCGAGCCAATTGTTCCGCGCGGGGGTCAGCCCGTGGGACCGAAACGGACCCCCTACGCTATTCACCGACACCCTCTTCCGCGTCCGATGACGTTCGCTACCCTTCGGAACTCTGCATTTGTCCTCTAACTGGACGAATCGACTCGTCGTTAACACTAAGGCTAGCAAGCCTTAACACGTTTTCCACTGGAATTATTTAATAATAGGTATTCTCGATCACCGAGCTGTGTCTGTGACATGCTCGATAATATTCTTCTAAAGAACCTTTGGGAAAAAATTTGTCACACGATATTCTAATTATTATAATTTATAAACAATTTTTTTTTAAATTCTTGACAGCTCGCCCTCGGTTTTAAAAAACCGTTGCGCAGCTGCCGGTGAATAAAGTGTTAAACGCGAGATCAATGCATATCGTTTTTCGTAACAATAACAAAATTGCGTTTCGACAAAAATCTTCGTCGGAAATTATTTTATAATATAATTATAAGATAATTTTATTATTTCAGCAACTGTGAAGGAAAAATTCGGAAACCAGTCGTTCTAATCGGTAGTTCTAGTGTTCAAGCGACGATTCATTCATGTATTTTTTATTTCAAAGTTGTTGAAATTGTAGCGACACCTTCGCAGTAAATAATTGGGTTGATTTTCTTAAATCAAGCGTCCACTCCAATAAAAATGGCGACAAATTATGTATAATTTATTTAAATTTCCACATAAGAGTCGAAGGATTACAGTAAATTCTGCCTAATTTTCCTTCAGCTTGGAAACACGATTAGTCGAGCTTTGCGGCTCGTTCTCATAGTTGTTGACAGTCGATAACTATAAAAACGATCCATAAGGCTCGATTAAGCGTATCTCGTCTTTCCAAATCGTCCATTTTTCTGTACAAGATGAGCGTCGATCGAGAAGAATTTACTGTACAATTATCGGGGAAAATGTAGCCAAGAAATTGTCGTTTTCAACTAAACGAATTGTTAAAGGCAAGAGAAATATCGTTTGTCCGCACTGTGAAGGAACAGAGATGGCGGACAGATTGTTCGTCGTTCGAAAGTGAAAATTCGGTCCAACCCTCCGACGAAACAGCTTTCGACCCCGGTGTTACACTTTCGCCACATTCCTGCCGAAGGTTCCGGCTCATCCGCAGTTTTCACTCGTTATTCACGTTCAAGCTTTCGGGGAGCCATTTTCCAGACCACTTCCCTGTTCCTCTACGTAACGGCGCTCTCGCCCTGTTACACGTGTTGGAAGGCAGATCTCGAGCTCGTTTCACCGAAACGTTGCGATCTTTCGTCACGGCTGTTCACTGTGTAAACCCCTCCTATCACCATAAACTCGATACACTACCGAGGAAAGTATTGTACATACACTGGCGTCTTCTGCTTTCGATTAACAATCACATTTATACTGTAACATCGTTCTAATGTCATTCGAACGAGCGTTTCCTTAACTTAACTTCTTCGGAAGAGATATTCTTTACCAGAATTTAAGAATATTTCCACGCTAATTTCGACTAATTGAAAATTTATCTTTATTTATCGCTAAATTTATATTTCTCACGACTGAATTAGACATTTTACTTCGAGATATTTTGGCACACAATAAAGGATTGGAAGACGCAAAAATTCATAGGAATTCTCATTGTCATTGATCATGAGAGATCGGTAGAACGGAACATTAATCGGATGAAAAATTCGTCATAGCGAACATAAAATAATCATGCAATAAATTGTCAAGGTTATGTCATTAATATGCACGATTTCTTGTAATTTTTCAAACTTGCATCTATCACGAATTCTTCAACGTACAAGAAACATAATATCTCTCAAAATAAAATCCAGATATGATCAATGAAAATTCCGATTAAAATCACAGTATAATTAAGAAAATAGAAAATTGGACAGTGTACGAACAAGTACGCCTAAACAAAGAACACCAATGCCTCGAATAGACAATGGCCTTTGTTATTACCGCGACTTCTGTTTCCTTTCTTTGCGTTCGTCTTTCGAGAGACGCTAATCGATTAACATCGGAGCAGAGCGACAGAGGTCAGCAGGCCTCGACCTCGTACCCCGGCCAAAAAGTAAAACCCACCACCGACCCCAGGTATATTGTATATAAAACCCAAGCCCCTCGATATAAAAACGCTATAACGAGGAGGCGCGAACTTTTAGAAGTGTCGCGCAGCTTTTTTCATTCGTGACTCGCGAGCGTACCGTATCTCGTCAATACGAATTTAATCTTATCTCATAGTCTATCGACGAAGGACCAAGCTCGTTATCAAAGAGTTTTCCTATTTCTTTTTTCGTTTGTTTTTACTTTTTTTTTGCGTGCGATGTCCGGCACGGCAGCAGCGATTACGCAGCGTGTAATAAACTGTTCGAAAGACGCTTTCGACCCGACATTTTAATTCGATCGCCAAGCACGTCGAAATCAATACCGTAAAAAATGTCATATTTTTGCATTGTACTTTCCGTTTCGAGCTACGCTACAAGTTCATTGAGGATATATTTTTGTTACCGATAACGAACGATCTGGTTGGAATTGTTCTGTTGACGATGTTCGAGCTGGTTAGTTTCGGGAACCAAGTTTGCGGTCCGAAGTGATTATTAGAAACGCAATGATACCATGTTCCTGTCGGTTGTTCAACGCTTGTATACTATGTTTCGGAGGCTGGGTGCTTGAACTGTTGACTAGGCGGTTTTTTCGATTATGATTGCATTCTCGATGCGCGCGAGACTACGATACAGTCTATGCTTGCGCGCGGATGCTGCGGCACTGCCCAGTGAAGTAATTATTGACCGAACGACACAAGAAATTGATAACTTCAACAATCTATTCCTAAAGCAACTGCAAGTTCCTCGAGAGCAGAACATTAGCGATTTTAAAATAGCCGATTCGAGTGCGAAACTGTCTGACCATTGAGTGGATCATCGTGGCTTTGATCCTGGTAATTGTTGGATCCAGTTTGACCCAGCTAAATTCTAGCTTCTTTAGCAGTCGGTTCAAACCATCGACTAGCCATATTCAATCAGCTCAAGAAAGAATGCTTAAAACTATACAGAAGCAAAATTACTATTCACGAATTTGAATTAACTGCCATGAAATTATCAGAACTTTTAATTAAAACATTTAATCGGTATAGATGGAATCGTTTAGTGATTTATGCAAACGTATCATCTGTTTATAGTTTTACGAAATGAACGTTGATTTCATTTGTCAACGCTGTGCTACCCAACATTAAATGAATCGAAAGAGTTCATTCTGAAGGTCCACTTGAGGGTCGACTGTCCTCGGAGCACCCTGTGCAGTTACCGAAAAAGGCAAAGGTGGCACGGTACGCTCGTCGGAGCAGATTGCTCGATGTCGATCTGTCGCTCGGATGATCGGACTCCAACTCAAGAGTTTAGTGTCGCAACGACGAAGCAAACTATGCTGTCCTAGTTT